ATTTTGAAAAATTACAAATAAATTTTATAAATAATTTTAGATTTTAATTTTGGACCATAATATTCGGAATTGAGATTTTGATTAACAATTTAATGTACCTATCGAAAGATTAACAAGATATTATTTTATCCGCTAGGGCAAAAGGAAAAAACATTGAATTTGAAAAAATTTATATTTATTTTTATTTTTTATAAATTAAAAAATATTAATTGCCAATTAATTCCACTAGACAAAAAAATCGACACGCTAGCTAAATATTTAGAACAACGATATTGGGCATATATCCAATACCTGCCACCAGATAAGGTAAACAAGAGAGAAATAGTGGATATGTAATTATTTATCAATATCGGATCTATCACGATCGAGGGGATACATGATGCTTTACGCTCATCAAAAACAAATTAAAGGACCGGATAACCCCACATGTCAATTTCTTCCAACAAAAAGCAAAAGAAAGGTAAAGATGGCATGGGAAATATAGGAAAAAGAAAAGAGATGGTGAAGGATTGGCGTATGCAACAAGGAAGTCGTGTGTGAGTAAGTTGTATGTGAGGAAATTGTGTGGTGATAAATTATATGTGAGATGTGTGTGTGTGTGGACCATGAGTAATAAATATTGTAGCGGGACGGGGAAGGAAGGAAAGATAAAGGAGATGGTGAAGAATCGAAAAATTAAATGAGTTGCGTGGGAGACCGTGTGTGATAAAAAATAATGGTATATGAAAAGATGGTATATATATATATATGCCTGTATATAATGTTCTGTACTATGGAATCGTAAATTTTGCAAATTCTTTCTGTATACCTTGTGGCTGGTAATCGTCCCTACCGGGAAGGAAGGAAAGATAAAGGAGGTGGTGAAGGATCGAAAAATATGTGAAAGATGGTATGTGAAAAAAAAAGATGGAATGAGAAAAGATGACATATATTTATGTATATATATATATATAAATACATGCATGTATGTATGCATGTATGTATGTATCTTTCCCACGAGCGGAGGCTGCGGTGTATGCGTGATGATAACGAAAAGGCACCTAATCATATGAAAGATCGAAGGAAATAAGCAGAAAACACCGAACATAGGAGCAGAAACGACAGGTAAGGGGCACAATTCACGGTGGATAGGCTGTGACCATTACTTCCGAACATGATGTTTAGCAACGGCAGCATCTGGGCGATGAAGTTGGTACCTGGCAGAACAAAATAAAACAACGGGTTGCCATTCCTGTCAAATAAAGGTGACATTATCATGAAGATTGTTAATTTTAAAATCACAAATTGATAACAAATACCTGAACATAATTAACCGCAACAATACTAGCAAAGATCACGACGCACCACATTGCTGGACCTGCCAAGCGGCTGCGAAAGTGCAACAACGCAACTCCCATTGAAAGCAAGCAACGCGATCATAACTGAAATTGATTACACAAAATCTGTTCTGAGCTGGCACGAACGCTGTCTTTTCTTTCGATTACATGGCTGTGTTCAGGCGCTGGATCTTCTCACGACGCGTCAATCCATGCGGGCCAAAGCTAGCTCCCTTGGCTATAAATTGTACCGAACACCGGAAGCGGAGTAAGTCCAAGACAAGGCAATATTAATATAGAACATCAAAAACGACCCCATGAGGTGGTGCAAAATCCAGACAGGGTGAGCAAGTGGTGTGAGGACAAGTTGTGTGTGAGCCAGTTGCAAGATATATATGAGCAAATTATGTAAGGACAAATTATATGTGGACAAGTTGTGTGGGGATAATTTGTGTGGGGACAAATTATGCGTGGACAAAAGGGAGGAAATTGGTATGTCTGTCACACAAAATGGAGATCCATGTCGCCAAGTGCCATGCCTGCCACGCAAAGTGGAGGTCCATGTCGCCAATTTCCGCACCTGCCACGCAAAGTGACGCTCGATGTCGCCAAGTGCCACGCCTGCTACGCAAACAGCGGCGGCGTCCACGGCGCCAACTGGGAACCAAGCGCGCCACCAGAGCCAGCCCAGTGCATTAAGTGCCACGCCTACCACGCAAAGCGACGCTCGATGGCGCCAAGTGCCACGCCTGCTACGCAAACAGCGGCGGCGTCCACGGCGCCAACTGGGAACCAAGCGCGCCACCAGAGCCATCCCAGTGCCATAAGTGCCACGCCTACCACGCAAAGTGACGGTCGATGTCACCAAATGCCATACCTACCACGCTAAGTGACGCTCGATGTCGCCAAGTGCCACGCCGGCCACGTAAAGTGACGGTTGTCAAGTTGTGTGTGTGAGTAAGTTGTGTATGAGAAGTTGTTAAGTTGAGTGTGAGTAAATTGTGTGTGAGTAAATATATGTGGACAAGTTGTGTTGGAGCAAATTGTCTGTGGAGAAGTGGTATGTAAGCAAATCGTGCGTGTACAAGTTGTGTGTGAGCAAATTATAAGTGGACAAATTATGTGCGAGTAAGTTGTGTGAGCAAATTTTGTGAGCAAATTATGTGTGGACAAGTTGTGTGTGGACAAGTTGTGTGTGGATAAGTTGTGTGTGAGTTATGTATGAGTAAATTGTGTGTGAGTAAATTGTGTGCTAGCAAATTATCTGAGTAGGTTGTGGACAAAAGATAAGTTGTGTGTGGGTAAATTGTATGTGAGTAAGTTGTGGGGACAAATTGCATGTGGAGGAGGTAACGGGAGGAGGGCAGGAGGAGGTGGGAATGCAGAACTAAAAATAAGAACCCCCACAAAGATATGGGGAACAAAACCCCGGCCTTACAATCGAATTATACAAATATCTAGACGAAGATAACCTGAGGTTGCTGGTGAGAATCCTGAACCAAATATGGATTGAAAAATCATATCCTGATAATTTTACCTACACAAAAACGATTTCTATTTATTAAAAAAACAATCCAGAATTGGCCTGAAAATTACCGTCCTATTTCTTTGCTGAATTCATCATACAAAATTATAACCAACATTTTGTAAAAAAACATTACAAATATCATTGATTAATTTATATATAATACATAATTTGGATTCAGGAGGGACAAAAATATTTCGAAATTGGGAAAAGGCCTTTGACAAAATATCACACCACAAATATCTTGAAATTCTGGAACGAATAAAGATTAATATCAAAATAATCAATAATATTAAAATTTTATATAAACATCCATTTTTCAAAATAATCCATATTATTGAAAAAAATAAATAACTAAAAAAAAAACCTCATTCTGATATACCATAGGGATATTCATTATCGTCTTATTTATTTATTTCCCCACCTGCCAGGTGAGGGTTGTTAGATTTTATATCAGTTGCCTCCTCCTCCTGCCTCGTCCTCCTCTCGTCCTCCTCTCCTCCTCCTCCTTTCCTCCTCGTCCTCCTCGTCCTCCTTGTCATCCTTGTCGTCCTCTCGTTGTCCTCGTCGTCCTCGTTGTCCTCCTCGTCCTCCTGCTCAATTGCGACCCGCGATCCACAGTATTCTTTGCCGGACCTCAACCACGACCAGCCACGCCCAGTGTTCCCTG